GTGATGATGATGATCGTTATGATGGTGATGGTGACGATGATGTTGTTGATGCTGATGTTGTTGATGATGATGACGACGGTAATGGTGATGATGATGATGGTGGTGATGATGATGAATATGGTGTGATGATGATGATGCTGATGATGATGATGCGGGTAATGATTGTGACAATGCTCATTGTGTTGATGATAATGATGGTGGTGGTGATGCTGATGATGGGGTTGTTGATGGTAATGATGATGATGATGATGATGATGATGATGATGATGATGCTGATGATGATGCGGATGTTGATGTTGATGTGGTTAATGATGATATTGTTGATGCTGATGCTGCTGATGATGCTGATGATGGCGGTGCCGACGACGACGATGCTGATGCTGATGCTGGTGCTGATAATAATGCTGATGATGATACTGCTGTCGATATTGATGATGTTGATGATGCTGATGCTCAGGCTGATGTTGGTGATGATGCTGCTGTTGATGATGGTGATGATGAGTTTCTTGATGATGGTGATGGTGCTCATGAGGATGCTATTGATGCTGATGCTGATGCTGATGGCGAGTATGCTGATGATGCCGATTATGATGACTATGATGATGAGTGAGATGCTGATGGTGATGCTGATGACTATGAGTTTGATCATGATGCCGATGATGATGGTGATGATGATGCTGATGACTATGATGATGACTCAGATGGTGATGATAATGATGATGATGACGCTGATGACGATGATGATGCTGATGCTGACGACTTGATGGTGATGATGATGCTGATGATGATGATGAGGATGCTGATGATGATGCTGATGATGATGATGATGATGATGACGAGGAAGAAAGGAACGGAGGAGAAGGACGAGGATGACGATGTGAAATCACGGTGCGGAGGAGGGGGAGGAGGAGAAGGCGGAGGAGGATTACATCTTCGGCCATCTCGTGCCGTCTTGGAGGCCATCTGTGGCTTCAATGATCCACCTTGCAGCCATCAGGATACCACAAAAGCTTTCTGGGAGACATGAAGGGGGGGATCGAGGGGGGGTAACGCTTCGCTCCCCTCCCCGTTCCAGGCCCAGCGAAAGGCATAGTGGGAGTAACCCCCTCACCGGGTGGGGGAACATGGTGCGCTAAAAGAAGGAGATCATTGAATTGTGATGCCACCGGCGCCCAGAGGCCGGTGGGAGTTACACTTTGGCCTCGCTCAGACGTGTCCATGTTTTCGACAAGGACCATTGGGGGAGCAAGTTGGGCCAGCATGCGAAACAAAAGCGCAAGACACCGAGCAATGGCGATGGCAGAACGATGGCGAGCCACTCACAAAGGTCCTGGTGCTGCTTGTCTGCACTCCTGAAGGTCGGGGTCTCCCCCCTCGGCCTCGGCGGTGGTGGCCCCGTTCCCTATTCCTCCTCCCTCGTCCTCCTGCTCCTGCTCCTCCTCGTTGTCCGTCTGCTTCTCCTCCTTTCGCGGCTCGCGCGCCGCGTGGGGACATCATCTTGCCCTCGTTTCGTCTCCTGCTCTTGACCGCCTGCCTGGTCTCTTCGTGTGGCAGTCCACTCCTCCTCCTCCTACTCCTTCTCCACTCCCTTTCCGTATAAACGGCTTCTTCCTAACGCACACCGAGGACGGTCGAAAGGGCGGGCGGGGCGTTTTGCCTATTACCCTGGAGTTGAGACATTGGCAACGGCTTCACAGATGGAGGGCGGGAGGTGTTCAAAACGTGACTCTCTTCTTAGCGCTGCGCCCACTCGCTGTATACATTTGCAAGGGTCTCGCGGTTTGAGGGCGGGCCGTCTTCAACACGTAGCGCCGCGTGCATTCGTTTTTGAAATTGCAAGAGTTTCACGGATGGAGGGCGGGCCGTTTTCAAAATGTGGTTCCCGCCGTAGCGCCATAAGTTCACGGATTAGGGGTATTGTTTTCAAAATGCGGTTCTCGCCTTAGCGCCGCGCGCATGCGATTCAATTATTGCAATTGTTTCAAAATTCTTCCAGTGGACAGCGTACCAGAAATTGTGGTTTGGAAGGCCTCAGGATCACACGGGCGCAACAGTTTGGTTGATTCGCGGTGTTGAAGTCCTAGGAATGGTGTTCTGGCGCGGTTCAGGATCGCCAAGGCGCAACAGTCCGGTTGCTTCGTGGTGTTGTAGTCCCGAGAATGGTGTTTCGGCACGCTTCAGGCTCTTCAAACGGTTGTCTCCCAGCGAGGCATTTCCCTCAGTGGAAATGAACCTTTGCAGGGGCCTCCTCCTCCTCCTCCTCCTGCTCCTCCTGCCCTCCTTGCCAGCGTGCCAGATTGCACGGTCTTGAGTCCCATCAGGCGCTTGTTGCTTGGGAGAGTGACCAGCGTAGTAGGCAGAGTGCGCTCTGTATTGCGGGACGAGGAGGTCGAGTAATCTGCCGCTTCTGACTAGGTGCTGGGGGGTGAAGACCCACCCAGTATCATCAGTACTTTCAGTACCTTGTCCTCCTGCCCCTCCCTCAGCGAGAGAGAATCAGGTCGCGAGCGCCAGGGGGAGCGGCGCCATCAACGGGCGCGCCCTGGCGTCGCTTGGCGACGGCGAGGGCCCGCGCGACCCGGTGCGGGCGTTGCTGCAGGATCGCGGGATGCCAACCAGGTCAGACAGAAAGAGGGGGGACAGACAGCCAAGATGCTGGAATCCAGGCCATTTAGGAGGTGCTCGGATTTTCGGACCGTTCCTTATGTCTACGTCGGAGAACCTGTTCGTGACCGAGGTTCGCCGTGGCCAGAAAAGCCCCGAGGCCCTCGCTTCGTTCCTTTGGTAGCACGCTGACTGGAAAGGGTGGCCACATTAGTGAGGGACCAGCTGAGGGGGCGGAAACATCGGCAATACATCGCCGATGGATCGGCGACAGGCCCTTGGTGGCGAATCCGCAGGTTCCTGGGCGGGGTGGAACTTTCAGAGCCCCATCGGCGATGAATGCGCGATTGAGGGTCGGTGCATTCCCCCCTGAGCCTATCTTTCCCTTTCGCTGGTCGCTAGGAAAGGATGGGGCTACGAAATCTGTTGCGTGCAGCTGGTTTCGGCCCCACGCCGGGCCCTTTCCCGGATGCACCAGCGCTCCCGGGGCCGGGATGCGTCGGGAGAATCAGCTACGTGAGTTGATTCGCTAGATCCCCCTTCTCATGGCGCCAGCATCGCAGAGCGGAATTCTTTCGGAAAGCAAGAGAATGTGCCCAGAGTATCTTGGAGAATGCCGTTCCGTATTTCGAAGTGGATGTCGTGCGGATTTTCTGGGATTTTGCGTCGACAGGAACCCACGCGAAGATCCGCGACAGCACGTCTGCAAGGTCGGTGCAGCGACCCTTCGCAGTCATCCCCCTTGCGTCCGACCCGAGTCAACCATGCAGTCAGGACGCTGAAGTAGGGAGGGCCCTTGGCCTCAGAAAGGGCTCCGGTGTTCGGGTCGCACATCCGATCTACAGTGGGGGCCCACGCCAAGAAGCACCCTGCTTGCCTCCAGGGTGCCCTGGGTGTTCTTGGGTCTCGATGGTTCTGCCGTGGAAGGCGTGACGTTCTCACACCAAAAAATCGATGCACGCCCTGGGGCCTCAGGGTTGGGTTCCTTGTGGGAGGTTTCTCGTGGGCGGGCCCCTGCTGCCGCTCGGGGAGCCTGTCCGTGGCCGAGGCTCGCCGTGGCCGGGAGCGCCCCGCTCGCTCTGCACGCCCCGCGCGCTCTCCGCGGTGCAGCGCGCCGCCTCGACACGGCGGCGACGCTGGCGCGGGCGCTCGCGCGTGAGGGATCACCCACCAGACCACCCCAGCCCAACCCGCAGGCCTCAATCGGCCCTCCATTTCCAGTGTGGGGGGGTGTCGGGGGGAACATCGAAAACCACACACACACACATACATATCGAACCCGTACCCCCCCAAACCCGAAATTCGGGTCTTCGGGTTGGGGTGGGGTGGTTTGGTAGGTAGTCGGTGAGGGATCGCTGGGTTTGAGACTCTGACTGATCCGGGTTTGAGACCCCCCCCCCCTCTCCGCTCCCCGCTGGCCCCGGTTTGGGAGCTGCGGCTGTGCGGCGGGCAAGGGTTCTCGGCACGGCTTTGGCTGACCCAGGGCAGCGCTGACCAGGGTTATCGCGTCTCCGAGTTGAGTGCCTTGGGGGCCCGTTTCGGGCCGTGGGGGCCTACGGCAAGCAACTCACGGCGGGAAGTCCTCACGAAGGATTGGGTCCTCCTCCCCCTCCTCCTCCTCCTCCTCCTCCTCCTCCTCCTCGATCTCTTCATCTCGTTCTCGTTCTCCTCTTCCCCCTCCCTCCTCCTCCTCCTCCTCCTCCTCTTCCTCCTCCTCCTCCTCCTCCTCCTCCTCCTCCTCCTCCTCTGTATTCCTCCTTCTCTGTGTTCCTCATCCTCTGTACCCTCCTCCTCTGTATTCCTCATCTGTATTCCTCCTCATGCTCCTCCTCCCCCTCCTCCTCCGTCTCCTCCTCCTCCTCCTCAACATCCTCTTTTCGTCGTGTTCCTCCTGCTCCTCCTCCTCCTTCCTCCTCCTCCTCCTCCTCCCTCCTCCTCCTTTCCTCCTCCTCTGTATTCCTCCTCCTCTGTATTGTTACTCTTCCTCGGTGTTCCTCCTGCTTCTCCTCCTCCTCCTCCTCCTCCTTCTCCTCCTCATGCTGCTCCTCATCATCCTCGTCCTCCTCCTCCTCCTCCCGACATCCTTCTCCTTTTCCTCCTATTCCTCCTCCTCCTGACCTCCCTCCTCCTCATTATTTCTGTTCATCCGCCTCGTCATCCTCGTCCTCCTCCTCCTCCTGCTCCTCCTCAGTTCTTCCTCTTTCTCCTCCTCCTCCGCCTCCGCCTCCGCCTCCGCCTCCTCCTCCGTTGTTCTCGGAGAGCATGGGGAAGGAACGGCTCGCGCGGGCTGTGGCCCAGGTCGGCAAGGCATGAGTTTGCCCGTGCATTTGCGCTGACACCCGACGCCACCCCCCTCCTGGTATCGCTCGGACATGAGCAATTTTTCTCGGCGGTGACAATCGAGGACATCCTTGATCGTCGAGCCGACAACAGCATTCACAACACCGACACATGCACGTGGAATGGACGTCCGAGCGGCGGATCCGTTTGCGCCGACATTCGCGCGCAAGTTTTCCAGCGTCAGGTCGCGCGAAAGCGCCCTCGTCTCCAGTGTGGCGTGCCGCGCCTGCGGCCCGCGTCGGCCGCCGCGTGAGGTCGCTATGCCATCGCGCGTGAGACCCATTTGCGTTCGTCGCTCACCCGTCGCACCTCTTCGCCGCTGGGGCTTGCGAGGTCGCCGAGTTGCGCCAAAGGTTTGGTAAGCCCCCGTCCGGGCGCGGCGGAGGTCTCTGTCGAGGTCCTCGCCGCCCCCCCCGGCGGGGTTGCGAACCGCACCCTTTGCAAGCCACACCCTTCGGAGTCGTCAACAGTGTTGCAGGAGGTTGAAATACCCGGGCGAAGGGCCAACCATATGCGATTGTGGGCACGGCATGATGAATACTGCTTTCGGTGGAGCTCCCCATGGGGCCGCGAAACGTTTGAGGGGTGTGCCGAAATAGGGCGGAAGCGCCTTGCGAACCCTGCCACTGCGCCTTCGGAGGAGCTCCCTATCGAGGCACGAAGCGTGCGTGGGGCGTACCGAAATGGGGTGGGGCCGCCCTGCGATCCCTGCCATTGTGGCCTTTTGTGGAGCTCCCTACGCGGCCACGAAACGCGTTGAGGGGTGTGCCGAAATGGGCCTGCGAACCCTGCCACTGCGCCTTCGGTGGAGCGCCCTGTGGGGCCACGAAACGTTTGAGGGGTGTGCCGACATTGGGTTGGGTCGCCTTGCGAACCCTGCCACTGAGGCCGTTGGTGAAGCTCCCCATGGGGCCACGAAACGTGTGAGGGGTGTGCCGAAACGGGGTGGGGTCGCCCTGTGAACCCTGCCACTGGGGCCTTTGGTGGAGATCCCTATGAAGCCACGGAGCGTGTGAGGGGTGCCGACATGGGGTGGGGCCGCTCTGCGAACCTTGCCATTGGGGCCTTTGGTGGAGCGGGTGTGCCGAGAAGGGGTGGGGCCGCCATGCGCACCCTGCCACTGGGCCTTCGTGGAGCTACATATGGGGCCACGAAGCGTGTGAGGGGTGTGACGAAGCTGGTGGTGGTGACTATGATGACGGCAGTGAACATGATGATGATGATGATGATGATGATGCTGATGATGATGATGATGATGATGACGATGCTGATGTTGATGTTGATGTTGATGTTGATGGTGGTGGTTATGGTGATGCTGATGGTGATCGTCACAATGATGCTGATGAGTACGTTGCTGATGATGACGATGATGATGAGGATGCCGACGGCGATGCTGCTGCTGATGATGATGATGACGATGACGATGCCGACAATGATGGTAATGCTCATGCTGCTGATGATGAGGATGATGAGGATGATGCTGGTGATGACGGTAATGCTGATGAGGATGTTGACGACGATGACGTTGGTGATGATGATGTTGATGACGATATTGATGATGATGACGATGTTGATGATGTAGATGATGATGGTGGTGTTGATGAGGATGATGGATGACGTATATGACGATTGTTGATGATGATTACGATGTTGTCGTCGATGTTGGTGTTGATGAAGATACTGATGATGCTGATGATGATGATGATGATGATGATGATGATGATGATGCGTATGATGCATATGATGCTGTTGCTGATGATGCTATTTCTGCTGCTCCTGCTGCTGATGCTAATGATGATGAAGGGAGGAGGATGAGGAGGAGGAGGAGGAGGAGGAGGAGAAGGAGGAGGAGGAGGAGGAGGAGGAGGAGGAGTGAAGGAGGAGAGGAATGTGGGGCACTGTCTTTTCAAATCGAGGACCAAACATCACAGGATGGTTGGAACAAGCAACACTTGGTAAGGAGGTGTTCCCTAGTAGAAAGCAAGTCCGACCTAGCTGAGAATAACACTGGTCTTGGTTGTTCCACCTTGGGACGTGTCTCGTGTTGGGTACCGCCCTTGGGCCCTGGGCCTCCAGCGAAGGGGCACATTCTCTCGATGTACGCTCTTGCCGGCCGTGCTTCGACTGTGCTAAACAGTCCTGCCCTGCTCGGTTCCTTCCCAGATCCGTCTACTGAAGGGGCCTGCTTGCTGGCGCTGCTTAATGAGGAGGGTGGCTGTTCTGCCCTCCTGCTCGGGGGGAGGCAGGTGGGGGAGGCGGACCTGGAACGCCCCCCATCAAGTCTGCTTCTGGCATGGAGGATCATTCTCCGATCCGGCGGCACGGGGGTCATCGCTAACAGGGGTCTCCTCCGCACGCCGCTCTGGCTGAGCAAGGGCAGGGTGCGCCCAGGACGCTCCGAGAGGCCCCCGAGAGGCTCTCTGAAGACCACTGGGAGGCCCCCGAGAGGCATCACAAGTGACCCCAACGAGGCACGGACGAGGCTGCTGACCCACAGCGCGGGCACGGTGGCGGGATGGGCCGAAGGCCTCTCTCTCTCTCGCAGGCTGGGGCGGCGCCTGGCCTTCGCTGGCCCGGCTCTGGGACTGCTTCGTGGCCGGCCCGGGGTCTGCCGGCCATGCGTATCAGAGTGGCCGTTCGCCGGAGTGCGGTTCCAGCACTGGCCCGACCGCGTGGATTTGGGCCCCCCGCGGCCCGCATATGGAGCCACGCACCCAAGGTCACTCTTGCCCAGGGCCGCTCCTTCGTGCAGCCGAGTCTGCGAAATGGCCCTGGGTGTCCAGGGTCAAGGCGTCGCCGACCTGGGGCGCGCTCCCTGTCCCGGACGAGCGGGTCGGCATTTCGCTCGGGTAATTATCCGACCAGTTTGCACCCGAGGTTGCAGGACCTGGAAGGTTAGATCAGAGGAGGGCAAGTTGAGACAACGGTAGTTGGCCTTCGGGGGGACCTTTCGTAGCCCATAGCTGAGCGCAGCTCGGGAAATTGTTGCGTTTAAACCCCGAGAGGGATCCAGGGACCGATTCTGAAATTGCCATTGTCTCAATTCGCCTTGCTCCAATAGAACCCCCACCCTGCCAAGTTGATCAGCGATTTTTTTTGTTCCGTAACTTGAGCCGTCTTGGCGCGTTTGAACCCTACGAGGGGTTCAGGAACCGATTTGAAGTTGCCAGGTTCTCAATTCCCCCTGCTCCGAGTAGAACCTTTGGATGACATTGAGGAGGGGAAGAAACACACGGACACATCGAATCGTCGATGCCCAGGAACGTACGCGAGAATGTTGGACGTGGGGGGAAGGGAGGAGCACCCAGAAGATATGGACTGGCCAGGGAGACTTGTGAGGCTCGTGCCTGTTCGTCTGTGCCTTCCTGGGCCCCACCGCAGACACGAGGGCAGGTGGGGCCTGCTACATGGCCCCGCCTTCTGGGAGGAGGCGGTGCCCTCCGGCACCCGCGGCCAGGGCTCGTGGGAATGCGCCCGTCCTGGGCGGCCCCGTGGCGCCGCGTGCTGGCCGGGCGCCGCCAGGCTTCAGTCGGGCCTGTCCCTCCACAGGAGGAGTAGTCAACAAAAAAAAGTCCGGGGACGCTAGTTCGACAATTTCTGGTCATTTTTGGAGTATTTGTTGTGCATCGTCTTTTTTGTCCGCCCAAAATCCCCTTGTAGGGGACGGGCCCGACCTAACGCCAGGACCCCGTGTTCCGCGCCGAGCACGACCTCCGCGCGCTCGACCAGAGGGCCGCGCCGCGCTCTCTCTCCTCTTCTGCTCCTCGGCCTCGCGGGCCCCCCCCTTGCGGCTCCCCGGATCCCTGGGCACCGCTCGGGCGTGTGCAGCTTCCCTCGGCGAGGGCCGTCGAGGAGCAGCCTGGATCGCCTCTTGCGAAACCTCAGCGCACGAGGCCGAGACATGCCATGGGAATGGACGCACGTCCGAGCGCTGGCAGGGTCCCCCCCTCTCCTCCTGCCCGTCCTCCTTCCGCTCTCCTCCCGTGCCCCTCCTGCCCTCCTTCCACGCCCCTCCTGCCTCCTCGCCCCCCCCTCCCTTCCCTATATCCCGCCTCCCCCCTCGTCCCGCCTCCCTCCTCTCTCGTTGTCAACGTCTTCCCCTTCCCCCTCCCTCTTCCCCATTCCCTCCCCCTCCATATCCCGTCCGTAGCCATTTTGGCTCAAGTCTTTTGCTTTGGCGGGCTGAGCCCGCATAGGCATTCACAGATACCGCTAGTCCGCGGCAGAGCTAGGACTGTTCAGTCCGACAAACCTTTTCCCTGGCGGTAGCGCTCCACCGTCAGGTTCACTTCTCATTCGCGTTTCTTGTTGTCATATGGCCCCATGCGATGGAGGGGCAAAGTGTTCGGCGTGTGGCGCGATCAAGTGCAACAAACCGTGGTATACATGGTGTGCGAACTGTTGGTCTCCCATACGGCATGTGGCTCCAGTTGGCCCTAATGTTGCTCGTCAGCCTTCTGGTCAGTGGCAGTTCGGTCCGCCCAATGCCGACGGAGGGGACAAGAAAGGGTTCAAGGGCAAAAAGGGTGGAGGTAATGGTGGGAGTGACGGAGGCAAAGGAGGAGCTCTCGCACCACCCCGCGCTCCCGCAGCCATGCTTGCCCAGATGGCTCTTCTCATGGAACAGTTCAAGGAAGAGTTCCCAGAGCGCGATGCCCTTGCTGCAAGCATTCAGAAAACGGCTACGTGTGTCAAGTCCTCAGCCGAGTCGGTCAAGGACTCGCTTCCTCTTCTGCAGCAACATCGCGCCGTGCAGGACTCACTTACCAAAAACGAGAAGTTCGTGGCGTCGTTGGATAAGCAGATATCTGAGTGCCAGGACAAGCTTGCCAGGCTTCAGGAGCAGAAGGCAGAAGCGGAGGTGCAGCAGGTTCAGATCCGTGCTCGGTACAAGGATCTTGCAGCCAAAGTCCGCCTTCTCGCAGCTGATGATCCTGCAAAGGACCTGTCCGACCAGATGGCGTCCTTCAACGACGTTCTCGAGGGAGGCGACCTGGGATCCATTCGCGAGGCCTGGGCCAAGCTCAAGCCAGCCTGTGAGACCTTTGCCGCGCCTGTGCCCGCTGAGCCTGCTGCTGCTAATTTTGGCGGGGGTGGGGAGGGCGGGGGGTCGGGGTCTGCAGGCGTTGAGATGCCTCAGGTCTCACCTGAGGACGAGTCAGCTTTCCAGTCATTCATTCGCGGAGAGGAGATTTCCGAGGAAGCCAGGAAGAGGGTCGCGGACTACCTCCAATCCGCGAACAAGCGTATCAAGTCGGGGGCGGGGGGGGCAGCGGCAGCCGCTCCAGGAGCTGGGGCGCCGCCTGCAGCGAGTGGCGGAGCTCGTGCTCCTGGCGCCCCTCTGGCCCCAGCTCCTGCCGACGGCGCCGCTGCCCGCCAGGAGTCTCCTTCCTGACCAGCAGCAGGGCACGGCGCCCTCGCTGCATCGCTCGACGGGGGAGTCCCCCCTTTTAAGCCAGGATATGTTCTTCAGCTCTGAGGGTGCAGGTGTGCCCCCCCGCCTGCTCCGCCAGTGCAGGATTTCTCTCTTGTAGTCCAGACTTGCAATATCACAGGCTGGCTCTCTTTGAAGCGCAAGTGGCTGAGCAGAGTCACTGCGCATGTGCTCTTGGTACAGGAGCATCACCTCATCGAGGATGAAGACATTGCTTCGGCCTCCCAGTGGCTCTTACGGCGAGGATGGGAATCCTGTTGGGCCCCTGCAGCACCTGGGCCTGGTGGGGGCACGTCGGGTGGCATCGCTGTGCTCGTCCGCTCCTACCTGGGCATGCACGCGCTCTCCTCGGGCTTCGCCATCGCCCCGCACCGTGCAGGCGCAGCAGTCGTGGTCGTTCCAGGTGGGCTTCGCATTCTTTTGGCTTCTGTCTATCTGCGCGACGTTGAGGGTCTCTCCGAGCGCAATATCGAGCTGCTCTCGCAGGTGGGCGCCAGCATTTCCCACGCGGACCTTCCCGTCATTGTAGGCGGGGGCTTCAACGCGACCCCTGGTGACATTTGCTTTAGCAAGTTTGTGCAAGAGTTTAAGGGCCAGCTCATCGCCCCCACCGACGGCTGCTACACCCTTCGGAGTCAGGGAGGTCTCAAAGTTTCTGATTACTTCGTCGTCTCGCCGGGCATCAGCAAGGTCGTCAAACAGGTGACTGTCAATAACAATTCCCCCCCTGTCCCCACGCAGCCCTGTGGATTTGGAATTGTTTCCTAACCCTGCTCAGATGCAGGTTTTGGAATTTCGCTAGCCCCCACCTCTTCCCAAACAGCAAGCTATTGGGCCCATCCGTGAACCCCCTTCCTGGGACTCGGTTCTTTGTTTTTTGGAAGACACGGCGGCGGTCGCTCGTTTGGGAAAAGGGGCTGAAACTCAACGCTGGCTGGACATAGCTTACAAGCTCTGGGCCAACATGGCCGAATGTGAAGTGGCCGAGGCCACGCAGGTCTCTCTGCCGTTCTGGGGTGCCAGGGGCAAGGCTCCTCAGCTTGTGTGGCAGCCCGTCTTTGGCCGAGACAAGGACGAACCTCGCCACCCTGCTCTCTACGCTGCGCGTTGGGTGTACAATCGGGTCCTGGACTGCAGGGTTTTCATTGACTCTCAAGGGGCCTCTTCTGACGATCATTCCCCCCCAACTTGGTTGCTCTCAAACGTGTTGTCTGTTCTCCCCCCCCGTTTGTTTTGGACCACTTAGGGGGCAACCGCCACTACCTTGACACTCTGCAGTCCCTGGTCTCAGGTCTTACTGTTAGCAGTTTCAAGGACAGCGCCGACCACGCCATTTACCTGGCGGTGCAGGTCTCAGGAGAGGTTGCCACAGCCGAGGCGTCAGCCAGGACCAGCAGCTTAGCTTCCTGGCGCAGTTGGCTGCGGGAGAATATTGACCAGGGAGCTAAGCGTGCGCACGCGGTCACTGCTGAGCCCCAGCCGTGGAAGCCGACGTCGACTCTGTCAGCTCACGGTTGCGTGGTCAGCGACCCGCTCTCCTTGCTCGCCGCGGGGAGGAGCAAGTTCACTGTTTTGTGGAGAGCTACTCCTTCTCCACACTCGAATGGGCAGGTTAAGGATTTCCAACCTGCTCCCGATCTCCCTCCTCTCGATCCCCATGAGCTCATACGTCTGTCTCGTATGTGCAAGGCGAGCTCGGCGGTCGGGGTCGATGGTTTCCACATGAGACATTTCAGTATGATTTCGGTCCCAGGGGGTTCGGCCTTGTGTAGGATCCCCCAGGTTATGGAAATCTCTAGCATGTTGCCTGCCCAGCTGGATGCCACCGTCTTGGCCCTGCTGGGCAAACCGACGGGAGGTTCCAGGCCCATCGGCATTTTCATGAGCCCGCATCGCCTGTGGGGGAAAGCGAGAAGGGGTTTGACGGAGAAGTGGGAGGGGGAGCATGCTCGGCCCTACTTTGCCGCTGGGAAGTATCAAGGGGCCTCCGATGTTGTGTGGCGCCAATGTGTCAAGAGCGAAAGTGGCGTCTCCAGGAAGGAACATGCTGCCACTCTCCTCTGGGACCGGTATAAATACTATGAGTTGATCGATCTGGATCGTCTGCTTGCGCGGTGCGAAAGGTTGGACTTCCCCGTCGCCATGGCCAGACTGGCCATCAGGGCCTATCGGGCCCCTCGTTTCCTTTCCCTCGGCGTCTGGATGGTCCGTGGTTCGTCTCCTCGGGGATTGTGGCGGGGTGTTCCCTTGCCACTACCCTCATCAGGGTGAATAACATAGAAGCCCTGGATTTGATTGTTCCCCGCCCCTGTTGCGACCTGGCCCTGTGCATTGACGACTCGGGGTTGTCTGCGGTAGGTGCTGTCAGTGACGTGGTTCGTTCGATTGTTGAGGGAGCCCCGCAGCTTCATGAGGCCATTGTCGATGGTATAGGGGGGAAGGTGGCGCAGGACAAATCTACCCTTGTCTGTTCTTCGGCGGCCGTGGGCCGTGCCATTCAGGCTGCTCTCGGAGCGGAGTTCACGGGTCCCATCGCGGACAGTTCGATCAATTTGGGCATTGATGACACGGGGGGGAAGAGCTTGAGGACTAAGGGGAGGGGAGTGAAACTCAAGTCTAGACTTCGGCCCTTTAAGAAGCGTGCCCGCCGCGTTGCCAACCTTCGCTCTGCCCTAGGATCTCGACGCACCCTGAGGGTCTTCACGGCAGGACCTCTCCCAGGTGTGCTCTGCGGCAGCGAGGTGCGCGGGGTCACGGACCGCGAGCTCCTCCACCTGCGCCGCTCGGCGGCGAGCACCATCGAACCCTCAGCTGGCCAACGCCCCCTGACGGTCTTGTCTCATTTGGAAGGGGACCCCGCTTGGATCGGTTCTGTTGCCCCGATTTTACGTTGGCACAAGGAGGTTTGGTGCACCCAAGTTCGGGCCTTTGAAGGCTCGCTCAGTTTCAGGGAGCTGAGGCGGGCATGGGAAGGTGTTTTTCTAAATGAATCACGTTCGTGGCGTGCTGTCGGAGGCCCCGTCGCCGCCATGCGCAAGTCCTTGGAGAGGATCTCCTGGGCGATGAGGGACTTCGCCACCTTTGCAACGGACCAAGGGGTGATCCTCTCCCTGACCCTCATCTCTCCCCAGCTTATGCGCCTCCACCTTCGGGCTGCTGTGCTTCGTGGATTGGAGTGGGACGCAGGGGCTAAGTGGGATGTTCCTCATCGTCTCTGCTTCGACGTGGTCAAACATTCTCTACGTAGCAAACGGTTCTCGGCCTTCGAGAAGGGCTGCATCAGGGCTGTCGCCACCAA